ATGCTCATAACACTGTCATGAAATTACTATGCTTTAACACGCGCCCAGTTGGCCGGCCAGATACCCTTCGCTCGGGTGGGGAGGGGTCAATTGGACCTCCCCTTCTGAGATCTCGGGAACTAAGAAAGCTAGAGACACCAAATTTACAGGATGTCTTGACCTATACGTGAACTCACTCAGGGGGGTACATTTCAGCTTACTAGGTCATGACCTTCAGGTCAAATAAGGTCAAACAAGGTCAAATTCCAGGTTGGCTCGGAAGCGCCCCCGGAGCTTAGGCAACTGTCTCTAAGCAAAAGGTCACAAGCACATTTGAGGTTATTGACCTTGTTTGACTCTTTGAAGGTCATGGCGACCAAAATGATACAAGACTGCTCCCAGTTTTGCATTTGAATAAGGGACAAAGATTACGCTAGGCGGTATGTTTCTAAAACAAAAAGTTCGACCTATGTCAATTTCGACCTACGTCATTCGGCTTACGTCAATGACCTGTTCTGACCCCTAAGAAGTCAATTGAAGATATGTGATGCGGTTCCTGCTGTCAAAAAATTATAAATAAACACCAGAATGTATCCCATACAGCAGCCCTAGAGTAATAAATCAGGGTGGTTTTGACCTTGTTCTGACCTTCATACCTGACTTTAGGTCAACATAATTTGCTCATTCAATATTTGTGGTGCCTAATAAAGCATCTCAGAGGTGTATGTTTTCGTCAGACACTCCGTCGTTGCATCATATTGAACGATTCCCTAGAAATTGAGTTTGCTGAAACCATGGGCTGACTTTGACGTGTCATAGGTCAGCAAACTCACAAGGTACATCTAAAATTTGTATCTCAAACGATCCGCTATGGAATTTTATGCAGCTGTGCAAAATTTGGCGCAACTACGCCGCGCCGTTCAGAAACCATTCGGGAAAAGCCCTCGGTGAGGGGGGGATAAATTTGCCCTTCCCCCACCCGAGCGCGTGCTAATGTGTTCTGTTTCTCTTAAATGGCCTAAGATGTTAAACAACGAAATAGTTTTGTGAAGTTCCTGATACTACGTCCATGTCAACCTGAAATAGATGTCTTCGTTGGCTGAAGCATCAGTCACAAGCTCATAAGTTCCATATTTTGTGAATCGATTTTCTCACTCCCGCACGGTTTTTTGCGATGAAATTTTTCACTCCCACCTTAGTTCAAAAGCGATCCTAGCTCCCTGGGGCACGTTTATCATGCGTTAACATAAGGACTTTTACATTGACCGCCCGCTGGATTCGCGGCATTTGGAAGTGGCCGCTTATGTTTTCCTTGCGGCTGCAGATGTTCATGACAACCAGCACACCACTGTGTGACGTCATCACCGAGTAGCAAAATGGCGTGTGTCCTGCAAAGAAATCCTGTCTACGGTCCATATACGGTCCTACGGTCAAGACATAAAACGCTATATCGCCTCCTATAACATGCATTTTCAAGCAGCCGTAGTCTAGTTTGGCAAAACCTGCTATTCGCATCCTACTGTTTGCACTTTGGGTTATTTACGATGGTAGTCAAGTGATCATCAATAGCGTATTTGCTTAAAGGGAGTGTTTCTCGTTTGTACGGAGCTCTGAACTGAGATAGCCATTTTCACGATGACATTCAGTGCAGTTCACAGACCTGTCCTCTCAAAAGTTAAAGACACCGATTTTTTAGCTTGACTGCGGGACCTCGCAGCAGCAGGCCCGCGTGATGACCAAGTTGCAGGGGACCCGCGCGATAACCAAGTTGCATCAAACCCACGCGTTCACCAAGTCGCAGCAAACCTGCGCGGCCACCGAATCGCAGCAAACCCGCGCGTTCACCAAGTCGCAACAAACCTGCGCGGCCACCAAGTCGTAGCAAACCCGCGCGATGACCAAGCTGCAAGAAACTTGCGCGGTCACCAGTTTGCAACAAACCCGCGCGGTCATCAGGTTGCTGCAGGCCGCATGGTCACCAAGTTGCAGCAGAACTCGCGCGGTTACCAAGTTACAGCAAACCTGCGTAATGACTAAGTTGCAGCAAACCCGCGCGATAACCAAGTTACAGCGAAGCCGCACGGTCTCCAAGTCGCAGCAAACCGGCATGGTCACCAAGTCGCAGCAAACCCGCGTGGTCACAAAGTCACAGCAGACACGCGCGGTCACCAAGTTGCAGCAGACCCGCGGCACCAAGTTGCAGCAGACCCATGCGCTCACCAAGTCGCAGCAGACCCGCGCAGTCACCAGGCTGCAGCAGACTCCCGCGGTCACCAATTTGCAGCAGATCCGCTTGGCCACCAAGTCGCAGGAGACCCGCACGTTCACCAAGATGCAGCAGACCTGTTCACCAAGTTCACCGAGCTGCAGCAGAACACGTTCACGGAAGCCACGCTGCGGTCTGCACCGGGCTATGGTCCACACGTTAGCAGACTGAAGCTGCGTCCCATCAGCAGTACGCCCGAACCCCAGTACCGTATCACCAGTGCGGTCGCGTCGCAGTTCACGTGTGGTAGCGCTGGACCGCCCCCAGGAGCGGGAGCCAGGTGCTCCGATCCCCTCCCGGCTCCAGCTCCTCTCCCAGCTGCAGTCACATCGGCATCTCCGGCCTAGCTGAGCCTCACTCGGACCATCCTCCTCGGACAGTCAGCATGTCTGACCGCTCCTCGGACGAGGCTTACCCTCTCACCGCGCGTCCCGGCGGCGGACGGTCCGAGGACCGTCCTCCGAACACGCGCTCCTCTGGCGGCGACGTCTGGAAGTATTACAGGGCCGCCATAGCCAGCTTTATGGTCGCGTCCGAACGCCTGGCGGCCGGAAGGGGAAGTATTGTTGTCACTGCTGACAGCAGGTGAAGGGATGGTAGTTGGGAGAGAAAGCGCTGCAAGATGGGCAAGATGGGCAGCCGGCTGGACTCCTCAACTGAAACAGACCCACGAGAGGACGGGCCCACTCGTGTGTCAGGGTGAGACCCAGACCCGTCATGGTTGACGTTCTCGGACTTGGGTCCTGGACAGGGTAGGGATATTCTGAACTATGAAAGCAAAGGCACGTCCCAAATGAGGTCAGCCACTTAAGAGACTTTCAGCGTCCCAAAAAGGATTGCCTCACTCTTGGAGCATAGTTCAAGAACATACGATGGTGGAACCTCAGGACCGGTTAGTCTAATAATGGAAGTGAGTAGTGCCTTTAGGTGGCATTTTTAGACTTTGAATAGCCGCACCCGCCTCACATTTGAAAACCCGTACACGCCTCGCAGGGAAAGTTTATCCAAAAAGCCCGAATTAACCCCCCTATCCTTATCTTCCATTCGAGGTGAGCATACGTAACACCGTGATATTATTGTCAAAATGAGATCAAGCCTACAAGTGTATTAATTCACAATTACCAGTCGTTTCCTATGTTGCACAGGTCCATCCTCGCTTTTCGCCCAGCGGAGTACGAGCGTTCTTCAGAGCGGGCTACGTGCATGGGGTTTCGAGCCATCCTCTCCAAGCATGGTGTGCCGTGCAAATTTGTGCTCTATTTGTGTTTCTTTTCTGACCTTTCTCGCACGGATGCATAACATTCAGCTAACAACGCGCACGATTGAGTCCAGGTCGCTTATCATGCTCAAGAAAATGGCAGGAGAAGTTCAACATCCAGAGGTGGGCGCGAAAGAAAGAAAATAAGTTGGCAGCACGTGACACCACTGACCACGTGAGACACACATACAGACGCCACTGTCAACGGGACACGACACGACATGCAGCCTCCCCAATGTTTCATGTCTCCACGTCTTAGTCCCTCCCCTTCATGCCCTGCCGCCAATCGCTCACTTAACCGCAATACACGCCAGGCCGATCTTGGTTCATTCCCAATACAGTTTGGTGAGCCACCACCTAGTGGTCTGCTTTTAGCCATGAGCATCAGCAATAGACTATCCCTCAAAACAAGTTTGCGGCCTGCGCATCTTTTGTCCGCTGCTCCATCTAAGTCAGCACTTTGCGATCGGAAACCTGTCCATAGGTAATCTATTGTATTTTGTTACGGACTTGGTGCTTTGTTTCTGCGAACTTTTGCTGAATATGGCCTGAATCGAGTTTCCGACCAGAGCGTCATGTGAGGGTCCGTTTCCTTCTATCGCCGTCCCTCAGCTGGCCAAACGCGGCCGTGGATACAGACTTGCGTAGAATGGTAAGATTCAGATTTAATTCCAGACCAGAACCTTAACAAATGTCTGCGATGTCGCCCGTCGTATGGGAACAGCGGCGGCGGGATCCGTACAGCAGGCGGTGGGGCCCGTGCAACAGGAGTTGGGTCTGAACAACAGGGGCGGGGGTCCGTAAAACGTACGGTGGGAGCAATACAGCATGATAGAGCAGTCTGGTTATCTCCATGTGAAGCAAAGCGACGCCGGTAGCGCTCCACCCATTGTGCTAGATATGATCACTAACCATTCGCTAAGATGGTCGCACATCTGCGGGTCGTGTGGCTCTTGCGGTTCCTAATTCTGGTAAAAGACTGTGCGATCTCTCTACATTCTTGTATGGCAGCGCTCTTAATCGTACACGATCCTTGGAAGTTTTTGGGGAAGAACAGCAGATGTCTTGCGAGCAGTTGTCTCATCTTTACTGCTCGCTGCGCATGATCTGGTCTCACATGTTTGAGGCTAGCTCCGGAATCTCCTGTTTAGCCTTCGGTCGTAGCTCATTAAAGTGCTCCGTTTTCAGAAGCGCATCCCCCGGACTAGCTTCTTCCGGATTAAGGTCAAATGAGCATGCATATCGTTTGAGGTTTGTCATTCTTTCATCACGAGATCTCCAAGTTTAAAGGGTTCACGTCGCGGCATCCCACTCTACGGCGCGAGCTGGGGCTTGCGAACGCTTGTGAAGTGCTCGAACTCGGGGAGAGCAATCACGTTTAACTTCAGAAACGACGTGTGTGTTGGGAGCTTGTCTAGCGAAACTTTTCTCCGCCTCATCCTCAGTTGTGACGATTGCAGTTCGGTGGCAAGGGTACCTGACACCTAAGGGAAGAAGTTTTTGAGTTGCTTTCCCTGGCGCAATCCGTTTGTTGGCTTCATCTTCCAGCCTGCTCAGATTTTCCGAAGAGATGAAGCAGGGTGGTCAACAGCGTGACGTTAACTATGTCTGCACCGCTCACATCCACGTTATTCAGCAACGCAATTTCCTGTAAAACTCACGTTCATCCCTGCCGCCAACAACTTGGCTCGTCCCGCGTACAACGCACCAGCATACAATATCGCTTTGAGATCCTCGTGTCAACGGCCATCATCACCCAGTCTCGACCCGTGATCTCACCGTCGATAAAGACATTCTTGTCAGCTGAGTCGGCACAGCAAAAGATGGAATCTGCTTTACTAAATCCAACAGCATTTGGTAACACGTTGCAGGTCCGTGCATGCACATAAAGCGGCCACAGGCCTGGCACAGCGAGAGGAAGGGTCGGCACAGTAGACGGCAGATGGCACGGTCGGTATAGCCGACGATGGGGTCCGACCAACAGACGGTGCGGTCCGCACAACAGGCGGCGGGATCCCCACAGCAGAACGGTGCGGCCCGTACAGCAGGGGGTGGGGTCCGTTCAACAGGAGGCGGGGTCCTTACAGCAGGTGATGGCCCCGAACAACAGGCGGTGAGGTCCTTACAGCAGGCGGTGGGGTCCGTGCAACAGACGGTGGGTTTCGTAAAGCAGGCAGTGTGGTCCGTACAACAGACGGTGCGGGTCAGTGCAAAGGCGGCGGGGATCCGTACAACGTCCGGTGGTATCAATACACCACGAAAGAACAGTCTGGTAATATTCGGTCACTTCGGTGGCAAGAGTGTATTTGTTGGTTCGTGCATTGCACCACCAGTTCGTCCAGCATCGAGGTACCCTGTGCTTTACAAGCTGGGTGGGGTCAGATGAAGAGGGGGGGGGGGGGGCGGAGCCCAGTCGGGATAGGTCTACCAATCCAACGGTGACATCACCATTATGTGCTGAATGGCACCACAATACGGGTTTTCAATAAGCCTTTTCGAATGTTTCTAAGCCGTTCTTTCCCATAAATTGAGTTCAAGACGTTGGTTAGTGCGTCGCAAAGTCATACCCATGGTTAAAACAGCTGTGGCTGGTCACCAAATGCAGCACCAGTCCGTACTACTGCACCATGCTTCGTATCCAATAATGGCGATTTTTACCAATTTTTGTCATCTTTACCACCCTTCAAATACCGTTTCGGACTTGCTGTACGGACACGGGTTTCTTGAAACCGGCGACGCGTATAAGCAAACTGTCGGCTCGGTGGAATGTAAATATTCGGAGGGTAACCAAACATAAGGTGATAGCGGTTGCATTCATTGTTAAGAGGGGCATCAGAAGATTTCCACTCTGGATTAGCCGGGAAGATATATGCAATCTGATCTCGCATGATGTCGGCAGGATCACTTTTCCGAATTGCATTTCAGCCTGTACGTGAACTCGAAACTGAAACTTTTCGACAAACGCTCAAGCGGGCGTTCCAAATTTGTATGAGATTTATATGAAATGGCGATCTTGAAGGTCAGTGGGCGCATTTCACAACCCTGCCCTTATTAAAACATAAAGCCCTCTATTATCTGAGCTGCACGCCGCGAACATGCGCAGACTATTGGGTCGATTTTTTTGGCTCTCAACCAATGCTGCGTAAGCTATGCAAAATTATAACACGGTTTGGTTATTTGGATTACAGTCCCTCTGGCCAGCAATGATCAGTTCAGTGCTGCGGGATGAAGGAGACTGGATAATGATGGGACAGGACGTGTGCCAGGCGCACCAATCGCTGAGCATTAGCCCGCGCAGGGACCTGGATGTGGGGAATGCGCTGAGCGCCCGGCGGGGGCTGCCTCTCCACGGGCCTCTCAGCCCACTCGTGGCGGACGCATGCAGCCTGCCACAGACAGGCGGGGCGTCGCCAGGACGCGGGGTGAAACAGGAGAGAGGATAGAAGTGTCGCATATTCTAGTACGGATTGGTTATTCGTATTAGAGCCAATTCGGTCAGAAATCTATCATTTCAGGGCAATGGGATGAAGGGGAATGAATAACGGTGGGGCAAGACTACATGCAGAAATGTTGGCAGCGATTTGAATAACAAAACAAAACGCTTGTTGACGCGGCTTAGTCCTATTCGGCGCAAACGTCGTGTTTCATAAGTGCAATGGACCTCGGATCCCACACGACCCAGCTGGAGACGAACGCTTATCCCCCCCCCCCCTCCAAAACTCCAGGCTAAATCCGTCCATGCTCGACTCTGCCCAGGATTTATCTTATACTTCTTCTGTTTCTTGGACTTCAGGACTATTTGTTTCCCGCACTTATCAGATGAGCATTTCTTTGCGCTATAAGCCGCCATTTGTTTGCCAAAATCTTGACATGGATGTCTATTCGCATCACCGAAAAGAAAAGCATGTAACGTTAAGGCATGTGTGACAACTTATGCAGAACACTTGTCATACATATTTTTGCAGGTGTGTTAGGCCAAAGGTAGCGCTGTTTCTCACGCTTTCTCTCAAGCTGCACTTTAGCGTGATATTTTATACTGGTTTGCAGTGTTTTTTCATCGCTCTTTTAGAAACCGCAATCTAGAAGCATATGTCCGCCATTGCGTTCCGTCTTGTGCAATATTAAGACTTACATCCAGCAACGTTTTTAGTGTAGTTAAAAGGCGCACAGAGAGGCCTTTAGAGGCCTTCCCTTCAAACCCGTGCTCCCGCATGGTCTAGTGGCTAGGATACGCGGCTTTCACCCGTGAGGCCCGGGTTCGATTCCCGGTGCGGGAAATAGAGCAGGCGTTTTCAGCGTGCTCCCCAGCACAGGGCGTAGAATTGAGACCGACAACTTAGGCACCATTCATATGATGACAACACTTATCTACTAACGATATGAATTCGCCGAACAACCATTCAACTATGTCCCGAGGGACAATCTCCGTGTGTGATATTGGATGTCATGGAGGAAGCTGAG